TCAACTAGCTTTTCCAGAGAAACAAAAGCTAAAAGAATTCATTACTAGCACCCCTGCATTGCAGGCAATGTTAAACGAGGTCCTTCAGGAAGAAGGAAAAAATACACACACACACACACACACACACACGTGTGTGCGTGTATGTGTGTGTATGTAAGTATGTGTATATATATTATTTTTATTATCTAAATTTCTTTAAAACATAATTGACTATTTAAAGAAAAGTAAAAACAATATAGTATAGACTTTTTAACATTTGTACAAGTAAAATACCTGAATAATACAAGGGCAGAAAGGGAAGAACCCTTTTATTTCTCCCTTGTAAGCATTTTAAGTTTCTATTAATCTGCATTAAATTATACAGTATACTTGAAGGTGGATTGTGATAAAGAAGCATATTATAAATTCTAAAGCAACCAATAAAATAATAAAACATACCAGTAAGAGACAAAATCGAATCATAAAAAATATACAGTTAATCCAAAAGAAATCAGAGAGTGAGAGGAAAGGGAACAAAAAACATTTGGGACAAATAGAAAACAAAGAGAAAAATGGCAGATTTAAATTCAACCAAATCAATAATAACATTAAATGTAAATGGTCTAAGCACCATATTTAAAGTCAGAGATTGTCAGATTAGATTGTAGGAAAAGCAAGACCCAATTATATGCTGCCTACAAGAAACACTTTAAATATAAAGAGACAAAAAGGTTAAAAGGATAATAATAGAAGAAGGTATATTGTGCTAAGGTTAATCGAACAAATCTGGAATGGCCGTATTAATATTAGACAAAACAAATTTCAGAAAAAAGAATATTTCCAGGAATTAAAGGAATTAGTGGTAGAGGAATGAATACTTCCAAGAGAAATTAAAATCCTAAATGTCTATGCATCTAATAACAGAGTTTCAAGCTGCATAAATCAAAGATAGTAAAATTTCAACAACTGAATGACAACCCCAATTATTGTCAGAGATTTCAGTGTCTCTCCTCAAGATTTGATAAAACCGATAGACAGAAAGTCAAACAAGAGATAGAAAACTTGAGCAATACTCATCATCTGACTTTTAACCTCATTGACATGTACAGAACACACCAGCAAACTTCATTCTTTTCCAGTGCATATGGAACCCATGTTCTGGCATATAAAACAATTCTCCATGAATCAAAAAGGATTAAAGTTATACAAAGTTTGTGTCTAACCACAATAGAATCAAATAAGAGAATTTTAAAAATATATCTAGAAATTCACCCTAATATTTTAGAAGCTAAATAAAGTTTATAAATAACACATCAAGAAAAAAATCAAAATTGAAATTTACAAGCATTTTGAACTGAGTAAAAATAAAAATTCAGTATTTCAAAATTTGTGAGATACTGCTAAAGCAGTACTGATTGAATTTTACAGCATTAAAACCTGTCTTAGGAGAAAAAAAACGTAAGATCAATGAATGCAACCTACACATTGTGAAACTGGTTTAAAAAAAGAAAAGAGCAAATTAAATTCAAAGTAAGTGGAATAAAGAATATAACAACACAGGAGCACTCAGCTTTCCTCCTGTAGAGTGTCTAGACATCTGGATGGCCTGTCACTTTAAATAAGGAAGCCCACACCTGTGACTGTGACCAGTTCAGCTGTCCACTTCCAAGTGACGACTCTCCAGGTTGGCATCCTTCTAATCCAGATGGGTGGCTTCTGTTGCTGAAGACATTCTCATACCTACCTTACCTCTACATTTGTAACAAATAAATCCTAGATACAACTGGGGTTATTTTAGAGAAGTAAAAAAAAATAAATAAAGTAAAAGTACAACAATAAGAATAAAAATCAATGAAGAAAGTTCTATGGAACCTTCAAAAAAATTTAAAAAGCTATAAGAACAACTATATAAGAACAACTAAGCAAATTAGGCATACAAAATTTATACACAAAATTCATTTATAGGAATTGAAGATGTAGATTAGTCGTAGAGCACTTGCCTAGTATACCCTAGGCTCTGGGTTTGAGCTCCAAAATCACATCACACACACACACACACACACACACACACACACACACACACACACATCATTCGTATTTGTATATTAGCAGAGAAAAATCAGCAGTTGAAATTCAAAAGCAATACCATTTATAATGGCATCAGAAATATTAATATGTAAGTATAAATCTGACAGAAGATATGCAATACCAATAGACTACTACAAATCTTCTTTAAGAAAGATTAAAGATAGGGCTGGGGATGTGGCTCAAGCGGTAGCGCGCTCGCCTGGCATGCGTGCGGCCCGGGTTCGATCCTCAGCACCACGTACAAACAAAGATGTTGTGTCTGCCGAGAACTAAAAAATAAATATTAAAAACTCTCTCTCTCTTTCTCTCTCTCTCACTCTCTCTTTAAAAAAAAAGGAAAGAAAGATTAAAGATAAACTAAAGAAAGAGAAATGGGGGACTGGGGTGGTGGCTTAGTAATAGAGCACTTGCCTAGCAGGTATGAGGCATTCAGTTCGATTCTCAGCATGTCATATAAATAAATTAAATAAAGGTCCATTGACAACTAAAAAAATATTTTAAAAAGAAAGAGAAATGCTGTGTTCTTGGGTCAGAAGATTCAATATTGCTTAAAAGACAGCTCTTCCCAAACTGATCAGTAGATTAAGTATAGTTCTAGTAAAAATATTATTTTGTAGAAATTGACAAGCTAATTCTAAAATGCATATGAAAATGCAAAGAATCAAAATCACTTTGAAAAACAACAAATCAAGACACTGTTGATAGAGGCATGAAGATAGGCGGGCACATATAGATCTACACATATATAGCCAACTGATAAAGGTGCAAAGGCAATTCAGTAAAGAGTGGTTTTAACAATGGTGTTGGAACAATTAGATATTCATAGGCAAAAGAAAAAAAGAGGCTCAATTCATACTTTGTATCATATAAAAAATTAACTCAAAATTGTCAAGTACTTAAATGTAAGAACTTAAAAAAAAAAAAGAAAAAAGCTAAATTTTTAGCAAAAACCATAGGAGAAGATCTTTGTGACCTTGGTTTAGGCAAAGATTTTTTTTAGATATGACACTAAAAGTACAATCCATAAAAAGAAAATAATTGATAAACTGAGCCTTATCAAATGAAAACTTTCTACTGTTTGAAAACGTTCTACTATTAAGAGAATGAAAAGACAAGCTACAGAAGATTGGGGGAAAATATTTACAAATCGCATAAAGGAGTTTTATTTAGAATATATCCTTAAAGCTCCATAATAAGTAAACAAACATCTCAATTAAAATTAGGCAAGGACTCTGAATAGACATTTTACCAAAGATACACAGATGGAAAATAAGCACATGAAAGGTGGTCAGTATCTTGTGTCATTAGAGAAAACAAATTAAAACCACAAAAGAAATATCATAGTGTACCTATAAGAATGGCCAAAATTAAAAGACTGGCCAAGCCGAATGTTGGCAAGAATGTAAAAAAAAAAACTATAACTCTCATACACTGGTAGGGAAATGTAAAATGGTACAACCACTTTAGAAATCAGTGGCAGATTCTTAGAGAGTTAAAGTTATGTACAGCATACAATCTATTCACTGTACTCATGTGTGGGTGACTTGGACATCCTGCTCAAGAGAAAGCATATGTTCATACAAAGTCTTTTATACTAATGTTTACAACAGCTTTATTTAATAGCCCCAAACTGGAAACAACCCAAATATCCATCAATATATTAATGGGTAAAAAATGTGTACTCTATCCATGGAATAGAACATGACTCAGAATAAAGGAACAAACTTTTGATATATTCAACAATATGGGTGAGTGTCAAAATAATTATGCTAAGAGGAGCCAGACATAAAAGAATACATACTTCATGATTCCATTTATGTATAACTCTTGAAAGTTCAAGCTAATATATATGGCCAGAAAGCTGATCAATGATTGCCAGAGATAGGGCATTGTGAGGTACAAGGGAGGAACTATAAAGGGGCTTAAAGAGACTTCTGGCAGTGATTAATTTATCTTCACTATCTTGATTGTAAGGATGGTTTCATAGTTGCACAATACATCAAGTTTCATACCATAAATGTGTGAAGCTTATTGTTAAAGCTGTTTATTTATTGTTAAAGTGGTTTTTTTTTTTTTTGAATGAGAATGAAGCCATGCCTGGATTTATAGTAGTAGTAAATATTACTGAAAAACCACATTATATAAATTAATTATGGATACTGTATTTTAAGTTACCTCAAAGGATTCTTTTTAAAACAAAGAAGACTTTTGTAAAAGTAATTTTTACTTTGAATACATCTTTTTCATGACTCCTATTATGATCCATTGTGTTTCCTTAAAGAGGGTGTACGTCAAGTCTGCTGACATAACAACAGCACAGTTCCACCCGAGAGCCAATCACCACCTGCATTACGTTGGCTGTGCATTGTCTTGAAATACAGAAGGCAGATATAATAGCTGCTATGTCTATTCTTCGGGGCGTACGCAGTTTAGAACACTTGTAAAATCATGTATTTTGATTAGACATTTATCCTACTTGGCACCTTAACCAAATTTCAACTTAGAGAACTTACGTGTACTTCATCAAAACAGCATTTCAGATACTTCATCTTAACACAAATTTCAATCAGTACCGGAATGGAAACTATTTATATGTGAAAAAGTGCTATTTCAGCTTTCTAATAAAATCAAAACTATGACTTTTAAAGTACATGTGTGTTTTAATCATGTTAAGTGTTCCTTTAAAAGATCTGGCTTTGCCACCGTGGGGTAAAAGTATGCAGTGAGTGGAAAGGTTAAAAGTCAGCCATCGACCTTGACTTTCCGGATGTGCTCCCTGACCTAATTATGCCAACCAAGTTTGAACGTGCTGATCTGCAGTACTGCTTCTTTCTGCCAGGCCCATGGGTTGGACCCAGAAACCATGATGTTCGTTCTCCCTTCTCTCTGTGACTCTCTGATAATGGTGGTGACTCAGCCTTTCTTTCTTTCAGGGTGTGAACGGCATGTCTGTGGATGAGAAGCCTGACTCCCCCATGTATGTGTATGAGTCCACAGTCCACTGCACCAACATCCTCCTGGGCCTCAATGACCAGCGGAAAAAGGATATTCTCTGTGACGTGACTCTGATAGTGGAGAGGAAGGAGTTCCGAGCCCACCGGGCTGTGCTGGCCGCATGCAGTGAATACTTCTGGCAGGCTCTGGTTGGACAGACAAAACATGACTTGGTGGTCAGCCTGCCTGAAGAGGTATAGTAATTTGGTTTGTTTGTATGGTTGATAAAGGAGGTGGATTGACTATAATTGGCTTGGTAGGATCTAGAAGGTATAACCTGTGCCACACGGATGTCCAAGTCACCCACATATTAGGTTTGTGGCAAAGCCAGTTTCTGTTTGATGCACTTGAAATCTCAGAAGCCTGAGTATGAACACAGCATGTTTCTTTAAAGAAACTGAACCTCACCTGGGGCTCAGTCACTTGTAGTTTCTAGTTCACTTAAACTTCAGATTTTGACTAGTTCCACCTAAGTTTGATGCAGTCCTAGATGTGGGATCTGAATCAGTGCTATGATTTCTCTCTTTCAAATGGTTTAAGGATTGTTGAGTTGCCCTTGAGAATAAAAGAATGAAAGCATTCACAGGGCCTTCCTTGCTTGGGGAAAAAAATAAAAGCAACCAGTAATTCTCACCATTAGCATAGTGAGATTCTAAGAAGCATAAACTTGATTCTCTCACCATTTTTCGAAAATACCCTACTCAGGTTTTCTGATTAAGTCAATGAGTCCAGTCTTGTTGGTACTTTGGAGACACCAATAACTGGATCTGCTCTGTCCAGAGATGGCATTCAGTTTCAGTTGGATGGTTTGAGCTCTGGAAACTCAAAGGATGGGCTTCACAATGACAAACTATCCCACTAGTCACCCCCTGAATTGGGTATACCATTCCTCTCCTTTAATCAGCCTGACTTCCCTTCAATTTTAATGGGACAAAGGGTAATAGATAAATAAAGGCTTTGTGTTCAGGCCAGAATCATTCCCTGCACACCACCAGCACAGTGTGCAACTGTAGGATCACCATCAGCTGTTGTGTCTACTGCACAACTCCCAGCGGTACAACTCACATTCATACTCTTTGCAAATACAGCCCTCTTGTTGGACCCTGTTCCACCAAGCGGCTCTTCACCACAATCCTAGGAGAAAACAAACACACCGTCACTTACATGTATGAGGTGCTAGTGATTATAGCTACCATCAAATTCTAGGGGTCACAAACCCAGATGCCTTCAGAGATTTTGCAAATAGTATTAATGAAAGCAGTTGTGTATAAGACAGTGGAAAGTGACAGACAAAGCATGTGTTCCATCGATGGACATTCAGATCCAACATTAAAAAAAAAAAAAAAAAAAAAGACAGCTGGGGATATAGCACAGTGGTAGAGCACTTGCCTGCCATGGGTGAGGCCCTGAGTTCTCCTGCACTGCAAAAACAAAAAAAGACAAGCACACAAGATATAGAGCTCCACCAGATCCCAGTCCCTTGTTAAGCAAAATCTATGGTTATCTGAGGGCAGGAGAGTGCCCTGATAAAAGTGAGAACTGCATAAGCACTCAGTATGTCCACATTCAGATCCTTCTTATGTACCCACCGTAAAATGCTCCATTACCACTCCTCATGACATGAGTAAGTAGATGGCTAGAGAGAGAGAGTAGAAACTAAAGGGCAAGACACTTGAAGACAAAGTAACTGGGGCTGGTGCAGGGAGCCCAACATCCTGTACCTAGTAATGTGGACAGGCTGGAGAATGGCAGTATGCGTGGGGATCCTGAGCTGGAGTGTCCTCATCTGCATGAGCAGGGCAGACTTAACCAGTTAGTGGGATGTCGTGGGGATTAGGAGAGATAATATAAAAGTTTTCAGCACAGTGCCTGTCTCATAATAAGCATTTGTCAAATATAAGGCCTTTTCTTCTCTGGATGGGAACAAGAATGCCTTTCTTACTTACTCCAACTCTAGAATCTCTGGAACCATTTGGAAACTTCCAATTGTCCAGAAAAATCTTAAGGAAGGAGGTGATGCTCACAGTTTATTTATTCTCTGTTACCTATTTGAGAACCATTTTCTATATATGTTTTTTACTGATTTTAAAAAATAATTAGATGATATGAAAATATATGTATTAATGAAAGTCATGTTTTACATAATTTAGTTTCTCTTTTGTGACTCTGTTGGCCCCATGTTGAGACTCTCTGACCATTGTGACCTACACCCAGGTTAGCCCTGGGGTCCTGGTCTAGTCACTGAATCTGTCAGTTATCTTACCTTTAAGAACCCTATAATTCTAAAGTCAAAATACAATACTGGTGCAGTAAGATGAAAAGGAGACCAGCGTATAAATGCCTATGACATAACCTTAAAGTTTCATTTTAGAACAAATCCTTAATAATTGCTTATTTCCATGGCATTGCATACTCCTATTTAAAATAAGAGGCACCCTGTGTAGATATATCCCACAAAAATCTGTTTGACCTTTTTGGTTTTATTCCAGTTAAATAAGAGTTGGCTGTGTATTGCTTCCCAGCCTCTAAAAGGACTGTTGTCCCTACATCATCTTTGTCCTCCAAACCATGACGACATTCTGTTTGCCCCCATTCCTGCAGTCTTGACATTAACCCATAGAGCTATGGGTTGGATGTCTTCCTTTCCTTTCTTCCCTTCCATTTCCTTTTTTCCTTCCTTCTCCTCTCTCCCATCCCATATACGCTGTCTCCTTCTTTCTTAAATGAATCTCTGTTGTCAGTCATCTAGCTCTTAAGTGTCTGAATAATGGGACCTGCAAACCAGCCCCAGTAGCATTTTCCTCTGTGGGGCTATAGGTGTTTGGAGGCCTCCTTGGTAGAGCCTCCTCCTCTGCTCAGCACCTGTCCATGGCCAATGCACTGAGCACGGTTTTCCTCTGCTGTATGCACACAGAAATTCCCTTGCAGGCTCAGTGAAAATAGTCACACTTTTCCCTGTGAATAACTTCATAGAATTTGAATTAATTGGCAAATAAGCAAGCATCCCAAATTGCTACTTTAGAATTAACTAGCATTTGGTCCCCATGATACAAGAAAAAGCAATGAAATGGTTAACCTCACATCATCTTATCACTTAATTCTGATCAACTTCTGGCCTGCCTCCACCCATGTTCCCACTTGCCACACCTCAACTCACACCTGACAGCTAATGTTGTGTATCAGTTTGAGAGTTTTTCTTGCACTGTGAAACCTCCAAATGTAAACTGGCACCCTTCTCCCTAATTCAGTTTAGGCCAAACCCAGCTCATATCTAACTACTGTCTAGTCCTGTACTTCTACCCTGAAATCCTCACTGTTGCTGGAAAACTCCAACAAATGTTCACTCAGTGCCCAGCTTCCACTTTAACCTGAGAGGGGAGAGATTTAAAATAGAGGCCTCCTTCTAGAAGTCAAGGAATAATTCAATTGCTTTTGCTTTTATTTTTTATTTTTTCTCTTCTCTAAAATGGATTGAAAGATAGACCTGAAACTTACAGGATTTGAGTGTTGGCTTCCCATTGAAAATGTCAGCAAATAGTAGGAAATCAGTCATTGTACTAAGTACTTCCAGTATAATTAAACTGGTCATTTTAATCTACTAGAAATTATGTTTTGTGCAAAGAGAGAAGAGAAAGTGGTTATGTTACAAGCACCTCAAGGCTGTCCTCCCCCTGCTCCTTAGAATTAAAGTTAGCTCAGGAGACACATTCTTAGCAAAGGTCATGGAGACCATATCACGCTGGATGCCAGCCACGCCAGAAGTAGCATCACTGCCATGAAGTTCCATCTCTTGGTGTGTGGAGTTGAGATCAGAAATGGGGTGTGCTTCCTGAGAAGCTGTGCAGCCACGGAGGGTTTGTCTCCAACCCATTCTCAGGAGGCTGCTTAGCTCCTTCACAGAAGGCTAGGGAAATAGCAGTTGTCAGGGGATTATTGCCAAGAGTCCGCCACCCTCTTTGTCTTATTTCCTATGTTCTTTCATCCTCTAGAAAAGAGAAAGGGTGCAGAGGATGTCTAAGGGGTGGAAATAAATATGGCCTCTTAGGTACAAATATGTTTTAGACTTTTGCTCATATCCTTGCTCTCTCTTTCCAGCTTGTGATAAATCTTATTCTTTTCAGTACCAAAAAGAGAAAGAGAGAAAGCTGACCCAGAAAGCTTGGGAAGAAGAGGCCTGTGTTGTCTTCACCATAGGGTGCAATAAAGAATGTTCCTGCAACAGTACTGCCAAGTGTGGATGCCAACAAGATTATGGAATCTTCTTGTCTGGAAGTTTTTAGAGGCTATGAAAGCTGTTAATGTCTCTGGGATGGTTTAGGTCCAGTCTTTTAAGAAAGGAGTAAGAGAGTCATGATTATCATCAGACAGTCCTTTCAGTATGTAGTGCTACAGAAGCTACTTAATGCTGCAGCACAGTTTGCCAATAGCATTCTGAGCCTGGGTGTGGCTGCAGAGAAAGGTGGAGGTTTTGAAGAAAACAATGGGTGACACCTTTGGGAAGTGGCATGACCAGGGGGATACAGGTAAAACACTCATTCACCCCAGAGCATGCAACCAGCCCTTTGACCTCTCCATATACCAATTAAACAGAACTCTGAAGGAGACACCACGACTCTTTACCAGGATGAGACTAAGGGGAATTTTTTTAAAACTAAGAACCATCAGCCATAAGGGGATGGAAAAACCATAATCTGGGACTTGGCACCACCTGTGTGTAAGGTCTCTAGCAAACCACACAACTCCTTTGGGCCTCTGCTTCCCCACTAATTTATTTCCTCATTCATTCAGCAGTTCACGGTCCCTCTATGTACCACGAGCCACCATTCTGGGTTCTGGGTAAACCTCACTTACATTCCAATGGGGAGAAGGAAGACAGAGAGAAAACTAAAAAATCCCAAATGTACTCAATTAGATGCCACTGAGGAAAATAAAACAATAATGGAGATTAGGAAATGTCAGGATACAGGTATCAGGATTTTTAAATAGAGGGGTCTCAAGAGTGGCTTGTTTGCAGGGGCAACTTTTGAGGAGCATAAGGAGGTGAGGGGGCCAGCCATGCTGATATCTGGGGAAGGAGGGAGCTAGGCAGAGGAACAGCAAGGAAGGGCCAGGGGCTGGAGCAGGCATGGCACGTCTGAGGCAGTAGCAGAGTGAGCAAGCGGGGAATGGAAAGAGGTATGTCTGGGAGAAGATG